GGTGGCAGCCTTTCATAGATGACAAAGGAGTTTGCAGCCTTAATCATACGTAAACACCGGGTATTCAAGAAAGCGCAAAGAAAAGACCATCGTGCCATGCCTGACGCGAAGGACAGCACGAACCCTTTAAGAAATGTTCGCACCTACCGGTAACAAACTTGAAGCGGAATCTAGAACGGCCCAGCGAGCCCCTGTCTTTTTGCCTGAGAAGGCCCATTTAGAACGCATTCACAGCATGATTCGGTAACTCATGTGACATCAAGACGCCAAGTGAGGATCTAACCGAAAGAAAGATTTACATGGCTTCGGTTAGGGCATTAACTTGTGAAGCTAACGGTGCTGTCAGTGCTCGATTTTTCCCTTTTCATATTAGTTTATCTATATAAACTAGCTTATTATTTAAAAAAAATATTAACATTAACGTACTCAATTTATTTTATTGCAATCATATTTACCTTGTTTTGTTTGTTTTTCTTTTGCACCTTCAGTTGTCGCCTTACACTTGAGTTACGCTCTTCATGCGTGCTCTTCATGCTACTCGTCCTAAGAAATTCTAAGAGGTTTCAACAGGTCTCGTCTCTCTGTCGTACTCGGTTGCAAGTGTGTCAACGGGCCTTTAGTGAAATGGAAGACCTCATTTCTCCGCGGCAGAGTTCTTCAAGACAACGCTGCCGCGTGTCGACTGTTCGACAAAAATGAACCATAGAAGCCTCAGCACCCCGACAAAGACTGGTAAGCACAGAATGTGCGATATGCCTTCCAGTTATCGGTGTTCTTCTGCGGCATCCCCGTGAAACCTCTTCCTGTTGCTTCTGCCTTTCTTACGTTCCCGATAAGCTCGTCCCTCTTTTCTTCCAACATGGCCACGGCGGAAGGGAGAGGAATGTGAACAGCACCACCTCGTTACAAAGCAATTGGAACGAAGATTCACACTAGTCGCAGACAAACGCTGACAGCTGCCCACACGGTTTTGGGGCTGCGAGGAGCGCGACTGAGCCCGGGCGCGGCCTTCGAACGCCGGGCGAAATATCTTCTGTCTTCGCGTCGAGAGCAGGGTTCATGCCTTGCTAGCTTTGTCGGTAGGTAAAACACTAGAATCGCGGTCTCAAGGTCGTGAGTTAAAATTGTGCCTGAGGACAAAAGTCATTTAGTGTGGCCCCGTATGTGGCCCCCTATGTGGGCCACATAGGGGGCCACATGAAAAACCCCACTCTCGGTGTTAGTTTTTCGTTAGAGCCAAACGTTACACGAGGGTTGCCCACCCGAAGGACAACAGCGCTGCGAGTCTGTTTGTTTCTTGTGTGCCTGTGAGTGTGACTGTAAATCTGGGCTGCTGCATCCAATCATGGATTACCAACTAGCCCAAGCACCCACACTATCAACCCGAGGGCAATTTCTTAAGGTGAAATCCACTCGTAGATCCGTAGCGCTTTCCGAAATCCGCGAGGGAGCGAAATACCACTCCGTGAGACCCGCTCCAAATCGACGAGGGGAAGATAAACTCGAATTTTTGGAGCGACCTCCCCCACACTCCTCCCCACTTCTTCCACCTCCGTCGTTCAAAAGGGCCGCTGCTCGAACTTGACAAGCCCACCAACGCCTCAGCCGACTGATCTTTCCGACGCAGAAATAACACGCGACACAGGCCGGGCGAAATCGTACGTACCACGGCACCCATGTCGCAAATAACGAAGACGTCCGCGATCGGCACCGCCACATACCTTTCGGCCGCCTCGAAGCGGCGGGGCACGGACAGCGATTCCCGGCGGTGGAGTTCAGATTTCTGGTAGGACTTTAATAAGCACAGAAGTAACAAACCATCACTTGCACGGTCGTTGCCTAATCTCCTCTTGCTTTATTGCACGAAAAAACGCCGGTGGAATGCAGTGTACAAAGGTAAACAATCATTGGCTGCAGAATGAACAGGCCTAACCTCGCGTCTGCCTCCGGCTTTTCTGACGTTCTTTTTCGCGTTCTTCCTCTCACGATCACAGATGTCAGCGCTTACGATTTACAAAGTGAGGTAGAAGCTTTCGAGCGGTAACAATCCCGCGTAAACTACCGACGCACCCGGACAGATCTAACTCGACGACCCGACCGTGGCCCCACCGGCCCGCCGACCCCGCCAACCACGCCGCGCATTCGCACTACCGAGGAAATGACGTAGAGCGCTCTGTACTTCCGGAAAGATCTGTGAAATCCCGCAGGGCAAGTTCGGCGGGGTTTGAGGCGCTTCGTGGAGCGGGCGCTCCCAGAGATCTGCGAGCGGAAGATGACCAGCTGGAGCCAGATCTGCGAGCGGAATATGCGTGCACCAAATGGAGCGCTTTTGGAGCGCTCGAGATGTGCGAGCGGAATTCACCATTAGATTAAGGTAATATTCAGGTCTATGCGGGAAAAGGGAAAATCTTGGTAGTGTGAGGGAAATTTTAGGCACCGTGTATATCTGTAAATTTTTAGGTCAATTATGCTTTTGTTCTTGAGATAATATCGAATTTCAGTGGTTTTGCCTATGTTTGGGTTATTCTTTCCATTCGTTCGGCGGCTTGTTGTGAGACCATCTGGCAGCACTGAGAAGAACTCGGACAATGTTTCTGAGCAAAATCAGTTTTCATCGCCTCCATGAAACAATGCAGGAAGGGACCAGTCAACTCGAAGCATCTGAGAGTGCCGTTCTGCCTTCTTGGAAAAGAAAGCGTGAGTACAACAAAAAGTTCTGCTATGTCTGGAAATACATACAGCATATCCAAGATACAGACTTACCGTGGTTAATAATATTTCCTCAAGTGCAATGAACATAAAAATGCATACTACGTGTCGTGTTCCATGTGGTGGAGTTTGAAAACTCTAGCTTTATTTTGGACTGACTACTATAAAAATCGCTAAAGAAGTTATTAAAGCAGTACCATGTTTTGCTGACGTGCATAACATCTAAAGCGAAGGTGCGGTTACATTTGTCAGTTTGAATCTCTCGGTGACACTTCCCCTCACCAGATTTGGTTTGGCACCCTTTTCGCCCGAGAAACTCATTTTTGTGAAACGTACGCGAGGCGTAAAGGTTACATAATATATCTCTTATTGCAAAAATGGAAATGATGCAGAAAACAGCCAATATTATTATTATATAATTATTTAGGCATGCCGCAGAAAAAAAAAAGAAACGAAGAAACTGCAACATAGGGAATGGTTCAAGATACTTAGATCGAAGTGTTCAGTCACAAAGGACAAGCGCGTGCGCTAATATAACTAATTTTTTTAACCGATAACTTTATGTGAGACACTTTCCAGAGATTACGTCGTCGTCCCTTGGCATCACGGTGCGCGCAAGGAAAATGGATAAACCTTTCCTCTTTGCTCTCGACGCGAGGAAAGGGTAGTCGAAACCTTCCGTACGCCGTGCCGCACGCAGGAGGCGAAGAGGGCAGCCCAGGTGTCCCGCCAAGGATGGCGCAACGAAGGGAGATTCATCGTGCCGTCTGCTTGAAATACTTCCTTTCCAACATTACCCGCGTTATTTGAAATCCCACTTTGGCAGCATCTAGTTGCCATGCGTAATGTTGGATGGTTTACAAAGCCCCCACCGCGCTTACTCACTTCGCGGATCACTGGTGGTAGCATCCACGATGCCAACCACGACGGCTATGAGAACCGCCCCCAGGTGTGAGAATCGGCCCCGCCATCGCCGTGAATGGACGCGGGAACGGGACTGAGTTTCGTTTTCTTTTCTGTGCGTGTTTGCGTTTGCACGTGGGCCCCTGTGTCTGGGTTGTCTGGGTGGACAGGCGGCGCTCGTGTTGGCAGGCGCAGGGGAGATTTGAGAGAAAGGAAGACGAGAAGGAGAGCACGTGTTTGGACCTTTTGCAAGGATTCGGAAGATAGCTCCGCTTGTAACTAGACACCGTCTTTTCTTTCTCCCTATCCGCGGAGTCCTGTCTGGTTTACTCTTGCGTCAGTGACCGTCAGCTACCTCCGTCATCGGGTCCCGGCGCAATCTCGAAGAAAGAACATAATTACTCCAGGTACGTGAAGGCGCCATTCCATCCGCTAAAGCTGCCGCTTTCGTTTCTTCGCATATTGTGGGAGAAAAATACGATTTTCTTCCCCAAATCTATACGTACCTATATTTGGATGGTGACCCGCGAGCGAGAATGTATTTTAAAATATGTCCAAGGCAAATTTGCCACTCGAAATGTCGGGAACAGATAACTTAGCAAGTGCTAGGAATGGCTAGAGTGTACTCGTTCAATTTTATATTTTTCACCAAGAAACTAGAAAGTAACGCCAATAGTAACGTCGATACTTCCATTGTTACTCCAGGAAAGGAACAGAACTTCAGTTTCGAGTTACACTTAAAAAAAAGTTACTCGTTACCGTTTAATGTTATCAAATAGTAAAAAATTTATCTGTAGCGCGTTACAAGATGCGCGTTACTACCTCTAACTCGGTTGAACCAAGACAACCTAGACAACAATGTACGCACCCCCCCCCCCCCCCTCCCCGCCGTTTCCATACGTCATCCGCAGTAAATCCTAGTGTCGCACCACCCTGAGGCGTTGACGTCGAAGAAAGTTGGGGATGGGCGTCGAAAATACGAGTTCGTTTATGTTGTGGTTTATATTAGAAATACCGTGTCAACTGAGTAGATATCGATCTAAGTCTGATTGGATACAGTAGCGGGCGTGAAAGGTTTTCAGCAGGCCTTTTTATTTTGCCGCTCCTTGATGAAATAACCCTGTTACACAAACGGAATCCAAACAATAAGGTCTGTTCAAAGCGGCCGACAGCAAATCTTTTCATTCACCGTAAGCAAATATTGGCTTTGCAAATCTAAGGGCACCACGAAAAACGAATAAAAAGAGGCTGGTTTATTCAATACGAAACACATTCATGGATTGTCCCTTTTCATCTAGGTGAGAAGAATTCGCTCTCGCTTCCCACAAAGAAAACTTGGCTATCGTACACGGTCAAAGCACTGCTGAACTGTACCTCCAAAGCGCGCGATGGACCGTAATTCTCTTCTGCTTTGCATCATTTTAACATACTGGACATCAAAATGTGGGAGCCGCTCACACGTTCCTTTAAACACTAACATTAACGTTGACATCATCTGCTTGAGGGAAACACACGACACAGACTGGATCGTTTCCTACTTCCGCAGAAACTTCAAGACTCGAAGCTGGTGCGGCAACTGGCCCCAGTATTTTGACCTCCTGAACGCAAGTGCGCTCTACGATCAGGAAACGTTGGTCGTGTTGCCGAGTTACATTCTGAAACAAGGCATTCTGCGTTTGATCACTTCAAAGATTTATAACTTTCCTCTGACCACGTGGATCATTATCGACAATAACTGGAATCCTCTCGAGGACGCGGCATCACCGCATGAACTTTTCTGCAGAGCCGTCGTCGTCCGGCAGCACACCGCCTCCATCGCTAAAGATCGCTTTTGGGACTGCAAGTCACGACGCACGATTGGCAAGAGGAAACTTCTGGAGGACCTTTTGCTGGAGAAGAAGCGATCATCAAAATGGACTAGATTATCCTCGAGGCCACTGAAGGTAGGATGCACGTCTGACGGTGGGCCCAACGCCACATGTAGATATGATTTCCTCACTACGGTCAGGAGGCTTCTGGGGGCCTTGAACGTCAGCTACGAGATGGTCAAGGTCGGAGATCACAACTGGATGTTTAACCTTTTGTGGAAGCGGATCGACGTCTTGGACGGAAACATTATGCTCTCGGAGTACCGCCGACTTCATATCTTCTATCCTGCCTTTCTGTTCGACGAAAAGGCGGTGTACTACGTCGGAGGAAAGGCCACCTGGCAGAACGGCATGCACCTGAATTCCTCGCTTGCCGAGTTTCTAGCACTACTCTTGGCCGCCGCGGTTGTGTGCCTCGCGTGCTTTTGCTTCCTCAACTATCGCGATCGCAGGCCGCTAGGATCTGACATCGGAGACATCGGTATGGTTGTCGTGGCTTCAGTGCTCTCTTTTCCTTACCCCGTTCCAAGTTCATTCAAGAGATCGAATTTCGGTCGCACTGTCCTCTTTCACTGGATACTCGGAGGCACGTCTTTAGCGATATTCTTCCAGAGCCTCTTGACGTCGAGCTCTAGTCACGGTCTCTCCTGGGAAGCGGACGACACGCAAGAAAAGTTGGTCCCGCATCTTGTGGCTGGAACCGTGTCGGTGTGCGTGCGACGGCCCTACATCCACGAGTCCCTGCTCGAGGAGAGAGTGAACGACTCGGACTTCTTGGGACACATGGCACGGGCCTTCAGGCGGAACCCAACCATTGTGGCGACCGTCGACGAATGCCTCGACCACGTGGTAAGAAGGACCCACTTGTTTTTCACGGCTGTCCGCGAGCCCACTGAGCTATATAAGTACGGGAGGAAGATCGCTCGCGGAAAAGAGACCATGGTGCCATCGCTCGGCAGCACTCCCGTCAGGAAGGACTTCCCGCTGAGGCACGAGTTCGCAGCAGTGTATCGAAGGCTCGATGAGACCGGTCTCAGGCCGTCCCGATCAAAGTTTGAGGGATGGAAGTGGTCGATATCTGAAGAGTCGGCGGCACCTTTGGATGTGCGACCATTCATCATCTTGTACCTGGCCGGGTGCGTCGCTGCGGCAATAGTTCTCGCACTTGAGTGGTTGTCGTTTCTGACCTATTTTTGATGGGATGCTTCCGGATGCCATTTATTTGTTTACTTGTTATGTAGACAAAGCATCGTTTCGACATTACATTACTAAAGAATCTACAAAAAAAAAATCTGGTGATATTCGAGTTGAAATATAGCGGAAAAGAATTTCGTCCGGAACAAGTTTCTGCGGCAATAGAAGGAAAAGGTGAAGATTGTGCCCCAACAAAGGCTACAATGTTGCAAACGAAAGTCAACTAAAATTTTAATATTTGTTTCAAGATATAAACCAAGATCTGACTTTTTCAGTTAAAAATTAGCGCCCAGATAAAAGAGGCTAAAATTATTCGGGAAAAAAAGTTACTCTTTATAAATCAGATAGAACATCTCGCGCTGCGTATGCGTTGCTTGGAGCTACTATGACATGAGGTCGTCAGTTGGTGTCATGGCGCTTGTCGCATTCACACAAAAAGAAAACATTTAACCAGTATCACATGTTTTGGTTTGCAATTTTACTTTCAAAAAACCTTACTAGTTAAACAAGTGAATGTTTCCTAGGCAAAAATGTTCATAGAGATGCCTTCCAGCGTCATTTCTGTCAAATAATGTTGAGGAATTCGGTTTCGTAAAACATAAACTGCTAAGCGTTAGTCTTGCATGCGTGCGCTTTGTGCGCTTTGTGAAGTGATCAACACGCATGGATACATCATTTGGTAAAAAGCACAGAGGTTGCGAGGAGAATACAAGTTTGTCAATGCATTTCCTTGTGGCATAGCATCAAACGACACTTTTCTCCACGGTGCTGGGGTGCAGCCGAATTTAACATTTGTTTGGAAAGCGTCAACCTAATCTACCTCTCTTTGAAAGGCTCTGCTAAAGCATTAGAAATCTCTGCACGTTCTTCAGTTGCCGCTTGTAAATGTTAGTCGAAGGATCCCACACGATGTGTGGTATATTTTTGACAGTGGACTCATTTGAACTGCACGACAGTTCCCGGTGACCAGGCTCTTTCAAAGATCGTTAACCGGTTCTGCTGAATGTTTATCTGGTATACATGGAAAGAAACAAAACATTTTGTTGTTTTGTTTTGTGGAGGGGGAGGTGGAGTGCGGAAAGGAAAGTGGGGGGGGGGGGGGGGGGGGAGCGAACGAATTCGAGAAATGTGTAATTCTCTTTTTTCATCGTAATAACAGTGGTATTTAAGTTAATTTCACAAATTGCTAAAACACATAAAAAATTGGCGGTAGTCTTCATGTGAGACTCAAATGGAGTCCAAACAAGTATTTGCATTGATTCTGAGTATTGCCAACCTTGTAGTCACCATTATTGTTCATGCGTCGGGAGGCTTTCGTCAGAAAAAAGGGGGGGTGGGGCGGCAACGGGAGGTTTTATCAGTGTAGTTGCTTAGACCCCCTCTTTTTAGCCGTGCTTTTGCATACTTTATTCCAAGTGCACACGGAAATACACTGAAAGCAATGGCGTGAGTCGGTGTATATCACCCTTGTACTCTTTGTGTGTTTTTTGCCAAATAATGCAATAAATAATTTATGAAAACAAAGTAGTATTGTTTTTTCCATCTTAGATTAACAGAAATACCGCAAAACCTACAGCAACTAGCAAATATCATTGTTAAGTCATCCTTCTTAGCACCGGTGTGGCAGTTCGCTGCTTTACTATATTACATCAATAATTATATTTTCCAATCTTCGGCAAAGTGCAATCGTCAGAATGCGGCGGTGCATTTGTCAGTAATCGTGCTATCATTTATTTATTTATTTAGTTATTTATTTATATATACCTTGAATGCCTCGGGGGCGTTATAGGGGGGGGGGGGGGGGGTCAGTACAAGTGGTTTTGAAGGGCTAGTCGGAAACTTTTGGAGTCGAGTATGGTAACTATGGCGTCCGGGAGGTCATTCCAGTCCACAACTGCTTCAGGGATCAGCAAATGCTGGAGTGCTTGACTTGATGACTTGGGACGGGCGATTTGCATGAATGGTCCAGTCTTGATGATATGTGTTTTGAGCGGGTTTAGAAGAGGCATTTTTAAGAAAGGTGTGTAACGACCTCGTGAAGAAGAGAAAGACGGGAAATTTGACGGCGGGAAGAAAGTAGAGAAAGGTTGAGACGAGACTTCATAGGTGATACACTTGAGGTACGAGAATAGCCATTAAAAATGAAGCGAGCAGCACGGTTCTGGACGGATTAAATGGAGCCTGTTAATTTTTTTTTTTATGAGGATGCCAGATGGAGGACGCATGTTCTAATTTAGGCCGAACGATAGTGGTGTACAAAATACGTTTTAGGTTTTCAGGTGAGGATCTAAAGTTTCGGCGAATGTAGCCTAGAGAGCGGTTCGCGGAGGATATAATTGTTTTAATATGAGTATGCCATGATAGATGAGGTGTGAGATGCAAGCCTAAGTATTTGTATTGGTTAGTATAATTAATGGGGAGAGAGTTCAAAATAAGTACAGGATAGGTAATTGACAATGAACGGGAAAAGCACATGCGTTGACATTTGTTAGGATTTATAAGGACATGCGCCATGTGTTACAATATTCAGTAATTTTAGAGATGTCGTTCTGAAGCGTTACAATATCATCAGTAGAGGTTATCTTAAGGTAGATTACACAGTCATCGGCAAAACGCCGCACGGTAGAAGAGATGTTGAGAGGAAGGTCATGAATATATATTAGGAAGAGTAATGGGCCGAGTACTGTCCCCTGGGGGACACCAGAAGAAACAGAGCACGGGAAGAATTTGGTGTGCTTAGCATAAACAAACTGTCGACGTTCAAGAAGGAATGATTCGATCCATTTTAGTATATCAGGGTCAATCTTTAGCATAGAAAGTATCAGCAGAAGGAGGTTTTGTGGCTCCTTGTAGAAAGCTTTGGCAAAACCCAGAAGTACAGCACTAGTGGGGTAGCCGCAGTCAAGGTTTAGGTGAAGGTCATTAGTAATAAATAGGAGGTGCGTTTCACAAGAGAAGTTGCGGCAGATAGCGTGCTGCGCGTTGCTAAAAAGGAGTTGTTTTCAAGGGAGTCAAACAGATGCGTGAAAATGATATGCTCCATGATCTTAGATGGGATGCAAGTAAGAGATATAGGTCCGTAGTTGAAGGGAGAGGACTTGCTGCCGCTATTGTGGACTGGAATGACCTTGCCGATTTTCCAGTCCTCAGGCACCACCACCGACTCCAAAGACTGCTGAAATATTTTGGTCCGAAATAAACTTAAAGACAGGCTAGTGTTACCTAATATTTTAGTGTTTATATTGTCAACGCTCCAAAGGACGAGGAGACCTTTAATGAGTTATTAATTTGAGATACACCACTCATTCTACAAAAACAGGGTCCATTGGAAAATATTCAGCAGGAACGTGACCACGCAAACAGTCGGTAGAAATAGGTATAAACACATTGCTGTATCTCCCCCCTCCTGCCTTGGCCCTATATTGGGCTGGCAGTATTGATAAATAAATAAATAAATAATAATAAATAAATAAATCATTAAACATAGCTCCAGACTGATCATGTGGAACAACATCACCCGAGTCGCTAGAAATCTTTGGTAAATCGTGGTCTTTTGAGTTAACAATACTCCAGAAACGACGAGGGTTTTACGTAGTATAGATGGGAGCTTCTGCTGAGAGTACACGCATTTGCACTCTCGTAGTTTCATTTTGTAGTTATGTTCACTATTTTTATATTTGAACCATGACTCAGGAGTGTCATCACGTTTGGCAGCACGGAAAAGCCTTTTCTTTTGTAACGTGGCCGAGGTTGAGCAGTTTCGCGTGGCTGTCAAAGAGCCGTGCTGCGCAAGCGCGAGGAGTAGTGTCGTCACACAACGCGCAGCTGGCGCGCCGGAGCCACCGCCGCCGCCGCGCGCGCCTCGCCGGTCAGCGCATGCGCGAGGAGCAGTGACGTCACACGGCGCACAGCTAGCGCGCCGAAGCCGCCGCCGCCGCGCGCTCCGTAGCCACCGCGCGCGCCTCGCCGGTCTGCGCATTCAAGGGGAGTGACGTCATAGCCGCGGCAGACGCACTGGCGCTGCCGCGTGCCCAGCTGTGCGCCTTCGTTGCGGAGTAGCCAAGTCTGAAGCTGCACCGGAGCCGTTTGATAGCGCCTCTCATATTGTGCGCATAAGCTCATACTACGTATATCTTGGCATAGCCGAGCTAAGCCACCGCTATTTTTGTTACAGAAAGACTTAAGCTGTCGATTGAACCATGGTTTCGACGAGGAATGCCTGAGATATTTGAATGGGATGCTAATGTTAACAAGTTCATCTAACTTTTTCTAAAAATAAGTCCCAATTCTCGTTAACATCTCGTGAATCAAAATTAATTAACAGAAACGTGTAATAGTCACACAACGCTCGGTTTAGTTCTTCGTAATTGCCTTTGTCGTATAGCAATATTTTCTCTCCTGAACGAACATTTTTTGTAGCTTTAACTTTTATGTAAGAATGAATAGATTTGTGGTCTCTGATGCCGTCCAAAAATACCAAAGGCGTTGGAAATAATTCAGGGTGAGAAGTAAGAACAAGATCGAAAATGTTTGAACAGGAAGGAGAGACTCGCTTAGGAAGGGAAACTATCTGAGAAATAATGAAATCTAAAACGGACGTCTATAAATTGTTTACAAACACTGGAGTTTTTTAGAGCAGAAAGAAGTTGGGTCCTTCCAATTAATGCACGGAAAGTTAAAATCGCCAAATAAAAGTATGGGATAGGTTGGATATTCTGTTGAAAGTAATGACAATTCACCGTGAACAACGCTTGATAACGAGTGTGACGCGTCAGGAGGACGGTAACAAACACCAACCCAGACAGACCTAAAACTGCATTGCAAGCATACCCAAAGTACTTCAAGTTGTCAATGATTAGGAATAACTCTGCTAGGTATCTTGCTATCTACGGCTATAAGAACGCCACCACCGCGCCGTTTCTGTCGATCGAGACGATAGATAATGAAGTTTGGGTGATCAGGCAGTATTTCACTCTCAATGACTTCAGGAGTTAACCACGTCT